CCCACTTTATTCCGCCTAGCCACAACCCTAAACCATCCATCCCGTTTCTCCTTCCTCATGCCCACCCCCAAACCCGCTGCTCCCCCCCCCCCTCCCACTCCCTCCCTTGCTCCCTTTTTGCTTTCCTCCCCGTGTTCTGTCCACCACTTTCACCCTCGCAGGGTTATCTGGCTCCGCACCTCCTGGGAAGGTGCTGTGTGTGACAACCAAAAGTCATGAAGTGGCTGCAACAATCATGGCCAATCAGGCAGGACCTAGTGGTCTTAACCGTCAGAACAGTGGAGGAGTGTCAAAGGCAGAGTTGCTTGCGCTGGAAGGCAAGGTGATGGAGCAGTTAGCAGCGATACGCGAATTGGTGGCAGGAATTCCATCGAGCGGATTGTCAAATCCATCTCAAGGAACACTTGTGATTGCCCGATCCGTCCCTGTGGTGAACCCTGCAATGTCAACTGACTCGGATTCCACCGAGAGTCCCGTTCTGCAGGCGAAATCGATCGTCATGAGGCATGTGGAAGACTATTGGGTGAGTATATCTTGACAAGAGGCATGGGGATTGTAAAGAGGCATGGGGAAATGGGGTGTAAATTCGCATGGGGATTGTATTATGAAAAAATTGATACGGCATTGTTTATCTTGTGTATGGTGTTTTGTTCTAAGCTGTTGTAATGTTTAGAAACCTGTGCTGCTTTCTATGTTGCATTCTATGTCCAACCCTACTGCCCTTTCTCCCCACCCTTGTACTTTTTCTCCCCTTTGTTAGCCCTTTTATTTGCCCATCCCTTAGTTTGCTTTGGTGTTCTAAACCCTAGGCTCCAACCCATCCTTAGCCCTCATGATTTGAACAAATGCAATGTTTTAGTGTATTACCTCTTATGTACCCTAAACCCATCTTTTACAGGAACTAGCCAAACGTGTGGCAACGCGCTTGATGTACACCAACGCAGCAGACCAGATTCAGTTTTATCCCTCGGATCGGGAGGCAATGGAGCTGGGTTTCAAGCAGTTTTTTTCCAACGGATGCTTTGAAGTCATTGATTGTCTTGTTCGAGCACCTTGACCCTGCCACACGCGGGGTCTTTCTAGAGCTGATGTCAACGACGCGGACAACCATCAACGGTTTTCTGCGGAAGTATTTGCTTGCTCTTGGACGCAGTGCAGCACGAAGCTATGTCAACAACCTACCTCCGGAGCTGCCACGGCCTGATATCTTCTACTCTGATCAGGAATTAGTTGATAAGTACATGGATGGTGAGTTTGGATTTTTTTATGTTGTGTTGCATATTCTTGCTTTGAAATGGTGTCTGCATATGGTGCCATTTTCTCTCCTCACATATTGTCAAGCATGTCACAGGTTGACACATTTGGTCATACTTTTCTCACTCATTATCACTCTTTCATTAGTTGCCATTCTCTCACATACTGCGATTCTTTCACATGCTGCCATTCTCTCAAATGGTTTCCGTTCTCCTTTTCACCTTTATTCAAACAGATGAGGGGACGTTAGCATGGCATTATCTTAACGGCGTGCCTTTCTCGACACAGATCTTCGCAGTTTGTGTCCGCTTAGCCCTGACAAGGAGAGGCGTCAACACTGAGAAGTTCAAGATCCGTCAGTTGGCGTGGATCTTGTATGCTGTGAGTATCCGTCAGTTACCCATAATTAGTTTAGGGTTATATGGTTGTGCAACGTAGGATTCACATAATCCAACATCCTTACTACTGGAAGCTTGTTAGCCAATAACCCCAACATCATATTTTCCACCTTGATCACATGCTTGCTTGAACCCTTTTTTTTGCCCCTTTTATCGTCAGGTGGAGTGGCCGTTGCTGCACAATGCGCCAGATGGGAAGCTTCCCACAAAGTGGGAAACGAATCGCACAAATTATGAGGTCATGTGCGCTCGTGTCAAGAGGTTGGTCGAGCATGCTGTGCTCGACCTCGGAGTTGCGTATGACAGGAACATGCACGCCTTCGTTTTCCCGAATGCGGTGTACATTGACGCTTCGGATTCCGAGTCGGTGGTGAAAGAGTACCTTGTAAGTATGCATGGATGATGTTGATATGAAACAATATGTTTGTTTGATATGTTTTTGTACTAATTCATGTTATCTTTCCTATTTGTATAAACCCTCCAGCGGAGGCAGGCAGCTTCGAGGACTGCGCAGCAAGTTCGCGCAACCCCTCCCTGAATGGTGGCACATGAGGGATTTGGACCGTGTGTGGAAGTAGCAGGGATGTGCAAGGTGGCTGGAAGTTGTAGAGTTGCACTGGAGAGTGGTTGGAAGTAGAAAGAGCTGGAGCATGATGGGACATAGTAGAGTGGTTGGAAGCATTGACATTGGGCTACAGAGTGGTTGGAAGTTGTGGATATGGGTTGCAGAGTGGTAGCTGGTAGCAGAGATGGGCTTCAGAGTGGTTGGGAGTGGTAGAGATGGGCTGCAGAGTGGTTGGAGGCAGCAAAAACGTGCTACAGAGACAGAATGAAGTTGGAAAGTGGCAAAGCTGGGCTGCAGAGTGGTTGGAAGTAGTAGGGAAGGGCTGGAGTGTGGCTGGAAGTAGTAGATACACGTTACAGAGTGGTTGGAAGCAGTGAAGATGGGCTGCAGAGTGGTTGGGAGTGGCAGAGGTGGGCTGCAGAGCGTGGGGGAGTAGCAGAGGTGGGCTGCAGAGTGGTTGGGAGTAGCAGAGGTGGGCTGCAGAGTGGTTGGGAGTAGCAGAGACGGGCTGCAGAGTGGTTGGGAGCAGACGGGCTGCAGAGTGGTTGGGAGTAGTAGAGACTGGCTGCAGAGTGGTTGGGAGTAGGAGAGAAGGACTGCAGAGTGGTTGGGAGTAGCAGAGAAGGGCTGCAGAGCAGTTGGGAGTAGCAGAGAAGGGCTGCAGAGCAGTTGGGAGTAGCAGAGACGGGCTGCAGAGTGGTTGGGAGTAGCAGAGACGGGCTGCAGAGTGGTTGGGAGTAGCAGACACGGGCTGCAGAGTGTTTGGGAGTAGCAGAGACGGGCTGCAGAGTGGTTGGGAGTAGCAGAGACGGGCTGCAGAGTGTTTGGGAGCAGCAGAGATGGGCTGCAAAGTGGTAGGGAGTAGCAGCGACGGGCTGCATAGTGGTTGGAGGTAGCAAAGACGAGAGATCACAGTTGCAACATGCTGGATGTAGTTTGCTGTGATCGGAGAAGCATTCGGATGTAGTAGTGATGGACAGGCGCGATGTTGGGAGGAGCCATGTTGCGAGGAGCCATGATGGGAGTAGTAACGAATGAGGAGGTGAAGAGTAGTTTCAAGCAACGAATGTAGCTGTTGGATGTAGTTGCCGGTAGGCAGGAAGCCGTTTGATGTAGTCTTGATTGACGTAGATGGTGGATGGTGGTAGGTTAGGTGTAGAACAACTAGATGAGGTGTAGAACTTATATTACCATTTTATGTATTGGATTTAACTTATATAATTTAATATAATTTTCATTTGCAACAAATTTACTAGCCCAGCCTGGCATGGAAGCCCTGTATATGGCATGCTCAGGTTTGTCCAATGTTGGACTGATTTTGGTCCATCTTGACGTTGAAATGGTATGTAGTATTTAGTCCCTTTTTTATGTCAAATTAGGGCTGAGTTCTTACATGCAGCCACACCATTCTTGGTCCGAAGCAATGGACCAAATTTTGTCTGATTTTGGCAGAAAACACCAAGTTTGGACTTATTTTGGACCAAACCAAGGCCCGGTAGTTTGTGATGACACTCAAGCTGTGTGAAGGCGAGGCGGTGGTTCGAGTGCATTCGGCGAGCCGCTTCACTTCAAATCCTTACCGAGATTTCCTTATCCCACTCCCCTTTGTGCTTCACCAGCTGAATGACAGCGTCCCAGCACACTATGTAAGGGCGAGATGCTGGTTCGCGCGCATGAGGAGGGAGTGTATTCATGAAAGTTTCTGCATTCCGAATCCCCTGCAATTCACCAGTTTGAGCAACAACGGCCTTGTCCATGTAAGGGCGAGGTGATGTTCGCATGCGCGCAGTGAGAAACTTCAACCTCAATAGCTTCTCCCCATCCCTCACTCGTTCTCACCCCACCCGTTGAATAAAAACTTCCGCATGCCTGCGCCGAGCAAGGGCAAGGCGCTGGTTCGCATGCACATGACAAGCATCAACCCGGGGCGGCTGGAAGTGTGCAGTCGGGATTCCTTCTGCACCATTTCCCCGTCACCACTGGTGAGAAAGAGTGCAAACAGCCGCGGGAGATGAAAGATTATAAGGAGGATTATCAGAAGCGCCGAATCTAATAGGTGCAATTTAATTTCATCTCCTTCTGGCCGCTGCGTTTCCCCACCGCTGTGCATGCACTGATTTGTGTTCCCTTACCTGGCTCTGCGGTTCCCTTACCTGGCTCTGCGGTTCCCTTACCTGCCTCTGCGGTTCCCTTACCTGCCTCTGCGGTTCCCTTTCCTGGCTCTGCGGTTCCCCCCTCTGGTGGTGACGACCTGCATGCATTCCTTTCCATCCGCCTTGTCATTCACCCTTCTCACTGCCCACTCGAGTCAGGATTTATTGATAGATTTTCCTGACCTACCTTTGATTGTTGTTCATGCAGGGTACGACCTCGCAGGCAACACATTGTCGTTTTTGGAAGGGCGCCGTTCTTTGTACGTTCCGTAACCACCACATTGCTTTATTCTTTGTTCGTCCGCTCTCATCCACTGCGCTGCACCTCTCTCCACCACTCTGCATCGCATCCCTCTCCTTATGGCATGTATGCGGCCACTTGCCTTTTGACTGCGGACAATGTCTGAACCACAAGCTCAACCACATGTCTGAACAATGTTTGGTGTTTTCACCACCGCATCTGTCTGCTTCTCTCCCATACACTTCCTCTCTGGCCCCACTCTCGTTCACTATGCAGTCCTCAACCAGCACGCCTCTTACTTGCTTTCCCTTCTCATTTGCATTCCTCATACCCCTTCTGTATTCTCACTCCTCTTCTCCCAAACGATGGGCGCCCTGGTGCAATACGCCCTACTGGAAACTGTCCTCAGTGCGCGCAAGCCCTCCTCCCTCACCTTCGAGTCTGCCGCTGCTCTCCCTGTCGTCCGCCTCACTGCCCTGCAAGCCATGAGGGACTGCGCCAGCCTTCCCCTCCAGGTAACCAAACCGGGTGCAGATAGCAGTGGTAAAGGCGAGAGCACCAGCACAAGCAGGAGCGACAGCAGCAGGTGCAGCGCACGATTCCTGGTGGCGAATATGTCAGGGGGAGTGGGGCATCTGGCAGTGCAGCTGGCTAAGGCAGCAGGGGCACAACTGCCACTCTCGGCGCTCATAACCTCGCCTTTGCACAGAACGTGCTTGGAACAGACGAGCTGTTTGATTACAACTCCGCTGCAGAGAAACAGCTCTACGATTTCTCATCCCCATCCCCTGCGCTGCACAGGTTTCTTCATCTGCCAATCCGCCTATCTCTGGGCAGTATTATGTGGTGATTGATTCCTCCTCCAATAGCCTGGCTGTCTCCGCTGTGAGCAGGGTTCTCCGTCCCCAAGGGAGGTGGGTGCATGTGGAGCTTCCGCCCTCTCTGCTCGCTCTGGGACTCTGGCGCCGCCTTGCGCTTCGCCCGAAGAAACTTTATCCTGCTATGATGGCGAACAGGCAGGGTGATTTGGAGGTGCTGGGGAGGATGGTGGAGGAGGGGAAGGTGAGGGTGGTGGTGGAGAGTAGTGTGGCGTTTGAAGAGGCGAGAGAGGCGTGGAGGAGGAGCATGGGAGGGTATGTGACGGGAAAGGTGGTGGTTAGGAGGATGGAGTGAAGGGCTACAAAGGTTACAGCTAGAGAAATCAGTCGCATGAATGTATCTTTTATGGTACCTTAGTTGAATTCTTCAATTGACTTCCAGAAAGCAATCTGTTTATCAGGCTAGCCCACTAACCACCCTTTATGTGAAACAAGTTATTATGAACCACCCCATGAAGGAGCATACATATAAAACTGATAGGAGTGCATACAAGTAAATCTGCACCTCATACTCCCCTCTCACAAACCCACTCCCCCGCTACCCATTCCCTTTCCACTAACCCACTCTGGTCCCACCCCCCTCCCACCCGCTACCACCTAACGTTCAGCCAGTCTCATGCTCAAAAGCACCTTCACCCCACTGCTGGCGCCAGCTTGCTTTCGACAGCCACTTATGAATTATGTCTTCCTCACGCTCTCTACTTGCCTACTTAGCCTCGGCCATGAGCTTCTTGAAGTTGGTCTTGCTCGAGTACAGCGTCTGCGGCTTCCAGTCGGCGGGAAGGACCTTGTCGAGAGTGATCTTCTCGAGGGTGTGTCCCGCAGTCAGGCGAACGCTCACCGCCTTCTTCGCGCCCACAACCTCCTTCGCCTCCTTGCCCTTGATCCCCCAGATCGCCTTGCTGCCGTCTCGCGTCAGCTTCGCCCACTTCTTGCCGTCCGCGCTAATCTCGACCTCTTTGAGCGTACCGGGGCCGGCGAGACCCACCATCTGAATGTTGAAATCCTCTGCCGTCGAATTGCGGCGCACGCGCACCGCGGATCCGAGGGTCGAGTGGCAGTTGGTGCGCTTGTACGTGATGCCGACGGGGGTGGCAACGGATCCCTGCACGATCTTGGACCACGACACGGGGGAAAGCGAAATCTCCTTCTCCGTGGTCGTCGCGCCAATGACGCGGACCGTCACGGTCGCCTTGCCGCTGCGGCAGTGCTTCGTGTCGTTGGCGCAAGTCACCTTGTAGCACGCGCCGCAGCGCTTGCCGAAGATGGCGGGAGGAAGCTTCACGGTGAGCCCCTTGCCAAAGTAGGGGTTGGCGGTGTAGTTTGCGTAATAGGCGCAGGTGGAGTCGTTTCCTAGCCCCGAGCTCTTGCTCTGCCTCGCCGTCGCCGCCACGGCACGCGTGGTTGCGTTTGCAGAGCCAATCGCGCCAGCAGCAACCCCCTTAGCATAAGCAGTTGAGTTGGCAGGCTTAGTCGCGTTGGCAGGCGCAGTCGCGTTGGCGGGTTTCCCGGCGGCAGAGACGCGCGCAGGGGCGGAAAGGAGCACTGCAGAGGCGATGACGACTACGAGGAAAGTCACGGCCTTAGCGGGTGTGTGGCTGAAGAGAGTCATTCTCGCTTCGTGTGTATCAATCGAGGCTAAAACTGTCGAGCTGGTGCTATGATTAGACAGCTTTGAAAAGCAGAGGGTACTGATGATATGAAATTGCTGATGAGATGAGCGGCAGTGGTGGTTCCTTTTATAACTGCATTTCTGCTGTGTCGAGGGATGGCACCATGTGTCGCGGGCAATTGACTTGGTCGTACTTTGGTCTCAGCAGTACGAGTCGCCAAGGGAGTCACACCAACATTGTTACGAGTAATTGCGGATTCAGTGCGGGGGGTGGCGAGCTAGCGACGGTCGGCAGCAAGTTCGCGATTCATCCCGAGTGTTCGCGAATACTGGATACGGAATCGTTCAGAGTTTTACGAATAATAATTGTGACGGAAACATACTGGAGAGATTGATTTTCCTGCGCATGCGACGGCGCGATAGGCGCGAAGCCTTGGGGTGGTGTGATGATTGACTGTACTCGTTTCGACGACCCATTTTTACAACAGAATTTGTTCTCGTTACAACATCAATTCCAATAATTAAGATGGGCAAGAATACTCCCACATCTTATGTTGAGCGATTTCTAGAGTTTGGTTCAATTTAATATACCCATTTTGTTCAAAGATAATACGAGAATACTCTACAGTTATGTCATCCTTGTTTTTTTTCCACATATGAGTCTTAGTGCATTTCATGGGATGATATCGCGCAGTACATCTTACGATATCAGGGTAAAAGATCCGGATACCCTGATATTGCGCAATTCGCACCAAACTTGTGCAGCGGAGGTTCATCGTGCCAAAAGGGATCACACAATCACTGCGGCGCTCGGCAATATTAAAGACAACAGAGACTTTGAGACGAAGGTGCTGAGGTAGATGCACACAACACCAACCGTTTTGCATCCTCAGAAAATCCTACCCCTCTCCTTTTCAAACTATCCATAATGATTGTTTAGGCTAATGTAGGGTAGCCTGTATCCATTTTAGGGTTAGTACCAGGGCTGACGATATCAGGGTAATTACCCTGATTTCAGGGTGATTTCAGACTTTCCACTTTGCGGAGACTGAGATTTCAGAATTACAGTTCTCAACCCTGTTCAAATCAGAGTAGTAGTTTTCCTATCCCTGATTTTGAGTATAGTGTAACAGACTAGCCTGTTAGTTGACCCTGACTTAATAGGGTATCGAATCTGTGGTCCCTGATTTTGACCTTATCGAGAGGAAGGTTCTTGGAAATTTCCTTCCGATATCCCCCTTCGGTTTGATCGCAGTACAGCCAGCGCGTGAGCGATGGACAGCAGCATGTCTGACAGGTGAGTACACTCGATGTTTGTTATTTTCACGAGATGCGAATAAGTTGTTCCATTGTCGTACGTTTGTGTGCTTAAAGTTTCCAGAACCTATTTTGCGTTTCGCACAGCGATGTTGGCCACATTCAGGTATCGAATCGAAATGTTTGGTTGAGCGAAATCGTGTCTTCCCTGTCAGAACTTATAGCTTACTTGTTTCTGTAGGCTATAGTGGGGTATCCTATAGGGGGTACAACCCAATTAGGGTTTCCTATTTGTACTCACTTCGTTCATAGTCATCCCATTCTCGTTCTTTGTTTTCACATGGAATCAGAGCAGGTTCCCTCCTAGGGACTGCTTCTAGGGCCCACCGAACCGCGCCCCGAGGCGCGTTTTTTTTTTTTAGCGACCCGTCGTGTCGCCCCTAGCGGACCGTTGCGCCGCCCTTCCCCTCTCGGCTCCGCCGCCCTTCCCTAGCGGCCCCGCCGCCCTTCGATCGCGGCCCCGCCGCCCTCTGCTACGCGGCCCCGCCGCGACCTTCGATCGCGGCCCCGCCGCCCTCGGCTACGCGGCCCCGCCGCCCTCTGCCTCGCGGCCCCGCCGCCCTCTGCTACGCGGCCCCGCCGCCCTCTGCTACGCGGCCCTGCCGCCCTCTGCTACGCGGCCCCGCCGCCCTTCGATCGCGGCCCCGCCGCCCTTTGCCACGCGGCCCCGCCGCCCTCTGCTACGCGGCCCCGCCGCCCTCTGCCACGCGGCCCCGCCGCCCTTCGATCGCGGCCCCGCCGCCCCCTGCTACGCGGCCCCGCCGCTCTCTTCGGTAGCGGCCCCGCCGCCCTCTGCTACGCGGCCCCGCCGCCCTCTGCTACGCGGCCCCGCCGCTCTCTTCGGTCGCGGCCCCGCCGCCACTCTGCTACGCGGCCCCGCCGATCCGCCCAGCAGCAGCCGCCGCCGCCTGAGCCGCCGCCGAGCCGCCGCCGAGCCGCCGCCGAGCCGCCGCCGAGCCGCCGCTGAGCCGCCGCCGAGCCGCCGCCGAGCCGCCGCCCGAGCCGCCGCCGAGCCGCCCGTGCCGCCCGAGCCGCCGCCGAGCCGCCCGTGACGCCCGAGCCGCCCGCGCTGCCCAGCAGCAGCCGAGCCGCCGCCGAGCCGCCGCCGCCTGAGCCGCCGCCGAGCCGCCGCCGAGCCGCCGCCCGAGCCGCCGCCGAGCCGCCGCCCGTGCCGCCCGAGCCGCCCGCGCCGCCCGAGCCGCCTGCGGAGCCGTGCTGCTGTTCCTCTGCTGCTGACCTACCTGCCTCTCCCCGCCCGGTGAGATTTTCAGCTGCTGTCATGGCCACCCCCAATGTTCTTACCTTTGACGCTGAGGGGAGGGCCATTGACTTTGCCGTCTGGATTGAAGACCTGCAGCTGTACTTACAGTGTGATGCGATAGATGAGGTCTCTCTCTTTGACTTTGTCTCTGGCGCTGTCCCTGCCCCACCTGCTGATGCTGACTCTGCCGTTCGCTCCAAGTGGGCGACCCGCGATGCTGCTGCACGTCTTGCTGTGCGTCGCCACCTCCCTTCCTCTGAGCGTGCCCACTTTAGTCAGTGCAAGACCGCTCAGGCCTTGTACGACGCTGTAGTTGCACGCTACTCCTCCCCTTCCTCCGCTACCCTTAGCCGCCTCATGCTACCGTTTCTCTTCCCTGACCTCGCTTCCTTTCCCACTGTCGCTGACCTCGTTACCCACCTCCGTGCTAGTGACACCCGCTACCGCGCTGCCCTTCCTGCTGAGTTCCGCGCTGCGAACCCTCCTCCCATGTACATCACTCTCTACTTTCTCGTCACCCGTCTCCCTGAGTCCCTTCGTGTCGTTAGGGACCAGTTTCTCTCTGTCTGTCCCACCACTCTCACTGTCGACCTCCTTGAGGAGTCCCTGCTAGCGGCTGAGAAGAGTATTGTCGCTGTAGGGGCCTCTCGGGGTGACCCTCGCACCCCCATCTTTGAGGGGTGTGGTCCTTCCCCCCTGCTGCCCTCTGTCGCCTCTGCCGCTGCGGCCGACCTCACTGGTTTTGAGTCGGTCGGCGCGGCGTCTGCCCCCAGCAGGCAGACGTCGCGCTGGCAAGGGCAAGGGGGGCAAGGGAGCGGGTGGAGCTAGAGGGGGCGGTGGAGGAGGCGGTGGGGGTGGCGGGGGGAGTGGGGGTGGCGGTGGGGGTGGTGGCGGGAGTGGAGGTACTGGTGGCGGCGGTGGAGGCGGAGGTGGCGGCGGAGGTGGTAGCGGAGGAGGCGGTGGGAGCGGTGGGAGCGACGGTCCTGGTGGGGGAGGTGGAGGTGGAGACGGGGGTGGCGGTGGAGGCGGGGGTGGCAGTGGAGGCGGGGGTCGGAGTGGCTCGTCTCAGCGGAGCAGCTCCGGGGGTGGTCAGCGCCAGCAGCAGCAGCCGCAGCAGCAGCCACAGCAGCAGCAGCGCTCTCGCACCGTCCCCGCCCCTCAGCAGCTCCGTGAGTGGTACTCGCAGCGTCAGCGTGGTGGTGCGCTTGGTCCTTGCCCCTACGTTCTCCGCACCGGTGACCGTGCAGGGGAGAGGTGTGGAGGCGCCCACACTGCCCGCCGTTGCTTTGGCCGCCTGACTGACGCCTGGCGTCAGCAGTTTCCGGAGGCAGCTGAGATCCCCCGCTGGGGAGAGCTGTCTAGGGCTGGTGTAGCTATTTATGATCTTGATTTTGATGCTATTCTCTCTGCTATGTATGCTGCGATTGGTAGTGATGAGGATGACTGTTACCAGTGTTTCCCGCCCGACCCGGGCATTGGTACTGCCGCGTCAGGTACTAGTGAGGCTGCTGCTCTAGGTGCCAGTGCGTCTGTGCTCTCAGGTGCTGGTGAGTCTGCCCTCTCAGGTACTGTGTCGGCTTCGGCCTCTCACACCTTCACCCTTGACTCTGGAGCGTCTCGCTCCTTCTTTCGGGACCGCACCACTCTCACGCCGCTGAGTCGGCCGGTTGCGGTGTCCCTGGCTGACCCCTCTGGGGGGCCTGTCCTGTCTCGCTTCTCCACTGTCCTCCCGTGTCCGGCGGCCCCCTCTGGCACCCTGACTGGTCTTTACCTCCCCTCGTTCTCGACGAACTTGGTGAGTGGTGCTGACCTCCAGGATGCGGGTGTCCACCAGTTCACCCCTGCTCGTCAGCGGGTGACCCACTGCACGGAGGCGGATACAGGTCGCCACCTGGCTACGTTTACACGTCGGCCAGGGTCGAGCCTGTACACTCTAACCACTGCTTCTCCTCCAGGTGCTGAGTCTGGTAGGGTCACTTCGTCTGGTCAGGTGTTTGCTGCAGCGTCCAGGTCTGGTCCTGAGTCTGCCCCCTGCTCGTGCCGTCGTCTGTCTCACGAGACCCTCCTCTGGCACCACCGCCTTGGCCACCCCTCTCTGCTTCGGCTCAGAGGCATGGCCTCGCGAGTCCTTGTGTCTGGTCTTCCCCGGTCTCTCCCTCCCCTCCCTCCGGGCCCTGGCCCTCACCTGTGTCCCCTGTGTCGAGGGGCGCCAGCGTGCTGCCCCTCACTCCTCCCAGTTTCCTCCGACAGAGGCCCCGTTGCAGACGCTTCACATGGATGTGTGGGGCCCAGCCCGCGTCCGTGGACAGGGTCAGGAGCGCTACTTCCTGCTGGTGGTTGACGACTACTCGCGTTACACCACAGTCTTCCCCTTGCGCAGCAAGGGTGAGGTCACTGCGGTGTTGATCGACTGGATCCGCGC